TAAGTCAGTAGCATCCCTGTACACTTCACATTAAAACCTTATTTACTACAGTTCCATTCACTGTTGGTAACCGCCAGTGACTTGAGTTTGTATAAAATATGGTTGTAGCAACTATATCATTACTTTGAGTGTACAAATCCCACATCATCTGTCATTTTAAGAGAAGCTGGTCAGTGGAGATGAGAAGCGAATGACTCACGGTTTGATCACCTATACTTTGGTGGCTCACCAGATTATCCCTGCCAGCCCCTGGGATTGGATAAGGAGTTTTCAGAAAATGTTTCTTTGCAAATGGGAGATGTGGGTGTTCAGCACTTGGAGGTGTTCTGCACTTAGAAGACAAGTTCTAAATGACTTGCTAGGGGCTGTTTTGGTGCGTGGTAACAGAATTACCGCTCAAGAACTGTTTTTGTTTTAACAGGAAAGTAATTGAAGTGATTATGGCCCCTTTGAAGTCTTATTTTTAGATTACAATAAGCAAGATTCTGATTAATTTAGCAGCAGGGCACCAGTGGCTATTAACAACTTAACATGAGGCCCTGATAGATTGATAAGGAGCTAAACAGCCCCTGAATCACATATTAACAATCTGGCCATACTATAATTGAGGCTCATGTTGGGTAATTGTCAGCATTGTTGATAGGCAACACACCAGCAGCAGCTATTTGTCTTTCAAATGGGCACTTAAATTATTCAGAATAATAATTGGTAGTCATCTACATCTGAGCCACAGTCCAGTTAGTCTAGGTGTGGATGACAGGCTTTAATTTAGTTAGCTTAAGTACAGCACTGGGCTCTACTTGGGCAAGCTCACCTGTGTCCTGAAGCAGTTTCTCAGATGGGATCTCTGGCCCATGATGAGATTCCTCTTCTGTGGCTCGGGCATTACTGATACATGAATAAACTGGGATGCAGCTGGCTTGGGTGTGATAACCAAACCAGCATCCAGGCAAATATTCCACCTAGCATCTGAGCCACCCATGTTATGCGTAGTTTTACCTCCCCAGACTAAGAGAGAAGGTAAAACTTGCAATGCTAAGCAGTAGCCTTATTTTTATTTATTTGTTTTGTTAAGTCTGATATGGTTGCAGAAGGTTAGAGCAATTCCCTTCTGAATTTAGGACGTCTAACTAGTTTTATATGTAGTGGGACATTCTAGCGAAATAAGAGTGAAAGTTTATGAACCATTAAATGTGCAGAAGGAGTTGGTAACCACTTGGTTCCTTCTTGTTGTAGCATTAGCAATTCTGAGCTAGTCACAGAGAGGGACATAGCTCAAATTAATTAGCTAAATTGCTACCTAATGGCAATAAGATTTGATGCCACTTAATATTTCAGTGCAAACATGGAAGGCAGGTTAACGTATTTAAATATGATTGGCTCGCCTTTTCTAGCGGAGTATCTTAACTCCTGTTTGGGCCGACTACAGCACTCATTGTGCTCAATTAATTCTGCCATTAGCAGTGATCTGACCTGCTATTAGCTCAGATAAAATGTACCGTCATCTCCATAGCCCTCTCCTTCAGTGATGACCATCGTGGTAAGGACGCTGAAATGCAATTGAAAGGGGGAGGGAGGACACACACACTATGCTTTGTACATAATTAAGTTACATTAATGATGGGAGACTTAATTACAATTTGGAGTTTATCAGCAGACAGCTCCAAAGGTAGCTTGCAGCCTGCGATGGTGTTGGGCTGTGCACACACATGCTGCACGGTAGGAGAGCAGTTGTTTTAGGCTGTGGAAGGGCTCCAGGAGGAAGGTGCCGATTATTCTTACTGTCTTGAGCCTGGGAAAAGTCATCAAGTTTGCTTATGCGCCTCTTGGCTTTCTTTTCTTTCCCCCTTTCTTTCCACCCGCCCTCTTCCCCCCACCCTCCTTGCGAAGCAACCCTTCTGGCTTTGTTGTAAGTGTGGTTTGTAATCATTGTACACATCCCAGATGGTTCATGAAAACTCTTTGAAATGCCATCTGCCAGGCGTGTGTCCAGCCGGCAGCCTGTCATTCTGCTACAAGAAAAACGGAGGCGGGTTTTCCCTTCCCCCTGCCTTTCTGAATTGCATTCAGCAACACTTGCTCAGATGTGAAGCAGGATAACAGCCCGAGCATCTGCAAGCAATCTTTGCTCTAGACAGCAACATGGAAAGTTGTTGGGTTTTTCGCCTTCACCCAGATAAGATATCCTAACCAGTGTAGTTTTTATTTTCCCTCTGTTTGTTGCTGAGGACCAACACGAGGTGACAAATGTTATCTCTGTGATGTAATGTTTTTCTTTTACGCAGTGACTTGGCGTTTCTAATGCATTCAGCGTGTGTTGCAGGCAATCGCGCTGATAGCGAGCACATCTGCGATTTTTCAACTTGAACATATTCAGGAAATTAAGAACACTGAGATGAAACAAATAGATCCATTAAAATGACTCAGAGGAATTATGGCAGAGATATAATTGTCGTGTCAAATAGGCAGCCAGCACTAGTAAACTGCTGACTGCAATTTCACCGCTATAAAAATTCAGAAGGAAAAAAAAAATTATTAATAAATACTCTCTGTGGGAAGATAAAGATAAAAAAGACGGCTTTAAACGACACAGTGAAGTTCCCGGATCTTTGCATCCCATCAATGAGTGTTGTCAGTTACTGGGAAAAAGTATGTCCTGATCTTTGTCATTCGGTTCGTGTGCTGTGTGGCTCGGTGTGGCGCTTGACTGATTTATTGACTGGTGCCCATGGCAGGGGGGGCAGAATTAGATGATCTTTAAGGTCCCTTCCAACCCAAACCATTCTATGATTCTGTGACTGGATGAGGAGCACTACAGAGCATAATTCTCACTTCCATTGTGCTCCCGGCATGGTACAGACACAGTGCATCGTTCGACGTACTCCTTGCTGAGGCTTTTCATTCTCCTTCCTTTCCTCTCGCAGGCCTGATTTAGGGGAACCTGGCAGTGGTCAACAGCCACAATACTCTGGTGAGGGTCCTCACAGCCTGAACATCTACAGCAGTGTTGGTGCTCAGGGAGGAGATGTTGTGTCCGGGCTGTGACCCTTCATCCCAGCTGCTGGGTGCATGCACGCTCCTTGCGTGCCAGGGAGGAATCCGTGTGGGCGTTGCACGCTCAGCATTGCTGCCTGCCTTTGGGATGGAAAAGCAGGCACTCGGGCAGAGAGGGGCATGTTGTATAGTTCCAGTATTTCTCTGGTCTAGATCTGTAAAAGACATCTGTCCTCTGTTAAAACTACTTGGTAAAAATTGTTATAGTCTTACTGTAAGGATTCAAGAATACAAAGAATGCAGAACTGAATCCTTTCAAATAGGAAAGAGTAATCCTGTTAGTAGGGTGAAGATATCCATCACCATTGCCATCCCTTTTTTGCTTTTCCTCCTTCTGCCTTCACCCATTCACGCAGCTCCAAGAGAAGGAATGATAGAAAAAGCACAGGAATTTACAGACTATCTGAAGACTGATGGTAAATAATAAAAAAAGAGAGAGAGCTTCTATTTTGAAACAAGAAATGGAGGATGTTAGAGAAAGTGGATGTCTATCAAGGAAATTAATCTAGTGATAGTCTTTCAAGGGTGTCACTCTGTCAAGGCTGACCTCTTGAACAGTCTCTCAGATGAATAGGGGCATAAGCAGACTTTCCGCTTCCCTGGCACTTGAGGAAAACATTTGCCAGATGCAGGCATGGTAAATTTATGCTCTTTCAACTTCTGAGAGCTGGAATCTTCCCAATTAGTTTCCAGAAGCTCAGCTTCTTTATATTCTCTTCAGTCCTTTTATGGGGGGTTGAAGAAATTGGGCGCACTGAGAAGGCACTGCCCAGGGGCCGGAAGGGTCCCACAGAAGTGAGAAATCATGCTTCATTAAATGTTAGGTATGGTTTCCACATCTCTAAAGTTGTTCCCAAGCCAGCAGATTGGTTGTGGCCACAGTACTTGGACACCTCCAACTCAAATGCTGCTCTTTCTTCTAAAGTTCCGTTTCCTGTACCATCAGTAAATCTGTCATTTATATTTAATCTCAGATGTACAGAATCCAGCCATCTCCTAGCCTTTAGAGTCATGGAAAATAAAGGCTATTGAACAGAAATCGATCCTAATCAATTAAGCTGTGCTCAGTGACCTAAAATGCAGTGGCCCAAACCATCTTAGCAAAAAGTCATGAAGTGACTCATCTTACAGCATGCTTCGAAGGGCTGTGAATTGGTCAGAAGGAAGGAGAGTTTCAGAGCTGGCAGAGTAGCAATGATCAGAGCCCTGTTCTGCATGGGTATTATTTAAATTGTCTCTTAAATTGCTAGAGAGAGATTCAGTGTGAATTATTACTCAAAAGAAAAAGTATTTCTTGAACTGGAATGAGCTTATAGGTGAACTTCTGTGAGAAGAGTTTGCAGGTTGTCTCTTTAGTGAGCATGTGTGAACGGTGCATCAAAACTGTCTCACAGCACTTGTTAATGCTGCATAAAAAATAATAGCATAAATTGAGATAAAATATTAAAAGAAAATAAGGGAGAAAATATCCTTATGATGCAAAAGAATACGTGGTGAGAGAAAGTGATACAGAAATAATGGAAGCTAGAAAGAAGTTGCCTTATCTGAGAATACAGATTGCAATTTTAGTGAAGTTGAAGTCTGAGAGGCTGTGCTACTAGCAGGAAGGTAATTGCTGGCATATTCCCAGATACCAAACTCTTCCAGCTGTGTTTCTGAAAGTGATATGGGAGATTTCTTTGCCAGAGTCTTTCTAAGAATATCAAAAACATTGTTGGGTGGAACAACTGGTACTGCCAGCTCAACCTGTGATCTATGTCTTGTCTTGTTTTTACATGTGCTTCTAACTTCTAACTGAACTCTTTTGACACTGCTTTCTGTGTAGCTCACAGAACTGTATTTTACAGATACTGTTGTATCTTTATGATCATTTTTTACTGTCGCTTTTAACTCTTGATAATAAAACAACTATATTAACGCACTACTTTCTCCTTTTAGGCACAACCCGCCCTCCAAGAGAAGGAGAAGTGCCTGGTGTGGACTATAACTTTCTGACTGTGGAGGAGTTTCTGGAGTTGGAGCGAAGTGGGACCCTTCTGGAAGTAGGAACTTATGAAGGTATGGAGCCACAGGTAGTGAAAAAGCACTTCAAATAACCATGGTAGGACAACAAACTTGTGTCACCCTCGCTTGAGTTAACCAGCTTGAGTTAGGACCTCACTTGCCATCCTAGTACTCTATTCCCCTCTCTCTCTGTACCCTGAGAGGGGGAATTCCAATATTACTGTGCTTTTGTCTTTTCCCTTCAAGTTAGCTACTTCAAAAGATTAACATCAGTAGGCCGGGAAAATCTAATATGAAATCCAGTAACGAAATGCTGAAGGAAGACATCATGTCAGCGAGTGGAAATGCATCTGTTCTTCGTATCCGCCATATTGCTCATCTCCTTGTTCACTTTTTCTTCCCTCCTTTCCCTTCATTTTCCCTAGATACACATCCTTCATCACCCAGTTGTGTCTCACTGTGCAGCCACATGATGCACTGCTTTTGGCCTTTTTTTTTTCTTCTTTATTCTTGGATAATTACTTCTAACTTGGGTCATTGTGTTGATGCTTTTTACAGCACAGCTTTACAAACAACAGCATTGGGACAGCCAAGGGGCATGAAATGTCACCAGGGTGAGAGCAGGAAAAAGATAGCTTTGACTTCCAGAGAAATGCAAGGCTAATAGGCGATATTTAGGTACACAATAGGATTTGTGTAACTAAACCTGCAATCTCTATCTCCTTTAAACTGAAAACTCCTTTTGGGGTGGTTGGGGTTTTTTTTTGTTGTTGTTGTTTTTTTTTCCTCCTGGAGAGTGTTCAGATATACCTCTTGAAAAGACAATGAGAAGAAATACGTTACAGGTTTGAAAGTCCTTCCTGTGTACTTCAGCTCATTCATGTCATATTTTCGTTTGCAAGAAGTTAAATGGGTCTTTTTGCAATTATGAGAAGTTGAAAAAGCCTTATTCTTTTGGCTGTTAATAAGAAACATGAAATACATTTGAAAATATGAACTACACACAAATAGCCAATAGTCTTTGAAAAGTAGTCACCAAATATGAACAGAAAAGATTGTGACATGTGGTTTTAGTTTTCGAGCTCTAAAAAAAACCAATCCTGAAACAATTTCTTTAGTCTCCTCCTTTAAAAACTCCCTTGTAAGGTCACCTTTAAACCTTGCACTTACTCCCAACTGCAGACAATTGCAGTGTCAAACCTGGTTTATATGAAGATGCTAAATGTATAATTTGGTTTCACTCTTCCACCTCTCTGAGCTGATTAGCTCCATCAGCACCAATGCTAACGTTCCAGCAGCAGCACTTCTCCAAAATGAGCTTTTTCCTCTTGATGTTTCTAATTATAACTCTAAATTAGTTTTCTTTGTCATGGTGCTCGAAATAGATCAGCTGAACTGCCTCACCATTACTTCCTGATCGTATTTGTTCTGGTGACCTTTCCACTTGGAAAGGCAAAATGGGTAACTGTCTGTAAGCTGGCTCCTGGGACATGCTGGGAATTAGTTTTCAGGAAATGCTCTACCCATCTGGGACAGTTATAACATGGTCGTTTCATTGCTTATGTGATTATATGCAGTAGCAGCTGAGCTGTTTAGATTTCATGTGTTGCTCTTTTGAGTTGCTGAAGATGAGGTTGATTTCTCATAAGCCTAATGCGTATTTCATTTCTGTGGGTGATAGAAGTGTCTGAACTTTAAAGGAATAATTTATCAGAAGTGCTGAGAAGCCTCTTTCCCCATTGACATCAGTGATGCTGGTGCACAGTGGTTCTGGAGAGCTGGCCTATGGAAAGGAAAATCAATAAGAATAAAGCAAATAATGATGATGCATGTGTGCACATATGCATCAAGACACATTACTATTTGATTGTAATGTGAAATAAATAAAGTTCATTTTTCACTTACAGCTTCAAGAAATGATTTTGCTGCCTTCTGAGATTTCTTTAATGGCTTTGTTGTACTTTTTTTGGAAATCTTATTTTACAACTGTATTGATCAAGACAGTGTTGATCTTGATTAGATCTTGGAAGATGGTATGATTCAGACTCAATGCTGCAATCACCAGCAATTTATTAAAAAAAAAAAAATCCGCCGAAAAACCCAGACCACAAAGTTAGACTTCTAATGTCCAAGCCTTTGTTATTGCCCAGCTTTATAGTGTTAGATTGCTTTAATTATCATTTGTTTTATGCTGCGTTTTGCTGCCGCCTTTTTTTTTTTAATGTATCACCATGATGAAGTTGATTGTATTTTTGACCCTGCCAGTGATGGCTTATTCTAAACCCAGAGGGATAGAACCCAATGAAAGGAAATAATCTTCTCTCTCTCTCTCTCTGAAGAACAATAAAATAGTGCCTTTAATGCATGGCTTTTATTATTAATAATGGTACCTGTTGTACTGAGTAGGAATCATACAATTGCAAAAGATAGGGTTGCTTTTGATTACAAAGTAATTAGGTGATTTCGAGATGAAGGAAGAGGAATGCTATGAAACGGAGAGTAGTGATGATGAATAGGGAAGTTTTCATGTGCCCAGCAGCCACAAGCTCATGTGGCTCAAGCAGGCTAGTGGTTTGGTGTCCGGGTGGTCCCAAGGCCCTTAATTTGTAAGCGTCTGCATGACATGGTGGGGGAGATGGATGTGTGCTCTGTACTTCTGTGCTGTTTCAGCAGTTGGAGAGGAAGTCTGACAGGAATGATCGAGATCGTTTTTGCCTTACTGGATGACGTTTGTTTGCTTCTTGAAGGCATAAACAGGGAGCTGACAGAAGAGGGGTAATACAGAGGACTTTGATGCTGATATGGATACTATTGATTGGGAAAGAATAAAGAACAAGCAGAAGAGAACAGTTGGAAACCATAAAAGAGTCGGGAGATTGTATCAGGTTTTGAAAGAGCAACCTGGGTTCTGAAAGTGCTCTAATTGCACAGAGAGAAACTGCAAGCTGAATAGGACAAAAAAAGGTGTTGCCTACCTACTGGGCTGCTTAATGTCATTATTATTTCTTCTGGTGAACTGCAAATAGGTTCCTCTGGGCAGTTTTTGATTCACATCCCTGTGAATGCAGAGCGGGCATGGCAGCTGCTTTTCTGGTCACCTGTCACCTCCTTGGTGTGTTCTGCACCCGAAGTGCTCCAAAAGTTGTGATCAGGTGGGAGGGAGCATTTGCCAGCCTTAATTCCTGAAGTTTTCAGTTCCAGTTTTAATATGCTGATTTTTAACCATAGAGTCTAGAAAATTCTTTTTTCCCCTAATGAAAGCTACATGTTGATCACATGAATCTAGGAGCTGGAGCCGAAATCCTAGAAGACCTGCCCAAAGCTGTGCTGCTGCACCAGTATAGGTGCTTTGCTGGTAAAGCTGCACACAACACGCTCAAGCCAGTTAGTAATTCCCGTTGACAATACTTGTTAGGAAGGAAAAAATCTTTTTATACTGCACGTTGTCTAGGCCTTCTGGTGGATAGGAAATCATGATAATTGTAATCTCAGGCATTTATTGACTGCTCCTTCAGGGCATAAAATACTGACGGATACAGGGAAGTAATTGTGTAGGTTACTAATTATTTAGCAATTACTCCTGCATTTGAATTGCAGGCTCTCACAGGGACCCCAAGGGAGGGCTGTTTTGAGCAGAACCACAACTTCTGTATTTTATTCCTGTTTCTTCACCAGCTGCTAGTGGCCCTGGGCAGATCAGGTAACTGCTCTCTACTTCAGGTGACTGGCCTGGAGAATATTAAAACAACACTTACTTCTCACTTCATTAATATTTCAGCAGATATCCTGTGCCTGCAGTTATCTATTAAAAATATGAGGGAGAGAGTGGGAGCGGTGGTATTTCAGAGGGCTGTGCTGAATGCAGCAGTGGAGATGGGTGCTGTGCAGAGACACGCAGGGAATTTTGAATGGGGATGGCTGCGTCGCTGGGGTCTGGCGAGGCTGTATTAATGAAGGCCTGCCCAGCACTTAGTGATCCTCGAAAGAAAAAGTGCTGCACTTTATAACATGTGAAGGGTTATTACATTATAGCATATTATTGTCAAGGCATCATCTTTCATTCTCAGGACAAGTGTTATGTGATTGCCAAGAGAAGTAATAAGTAATCTGCATTAGTCTCATGACTAAGATGTAATGGGGTGACTTGCTAACATTTTTAAAGTGTATAAAACTAGCTACTGTAGACAGGGTCTCCGACTGTGGTACTTAATGAGTGTAATAAATTACCTTAATAGTGCAGTTAGAATTTCAGCTGAAGTAGAGAGGTGTATTCAGCAACATGCTTCAAATCAAGATGCCTTTAGCCTAATTTATCTGATGTGCTAGCTCTCCTTGGCTTTCTCTGCAGCAGCCCTACTCCCCCAGCTGCTTTAGCAAAATGGCTGGACTTTCTTTGCTGCTCTCCGGGTGTCTTCGCAGCCTGTGGGTCTCGCCAACTTGGTACAACCTTGAAATGAGAGCTGTGTCTGTGGCATGCAAAACATGACGGGAAGGTTGGGAGAGTAAGGGTGGCAGATGCTGGGGATGCCCATGCGGTGGAACAACATGTTCCGCTTAATAAGATAAGATCTGGTTATTATTGTCTCCATATTACAGATTGACTCAATAAATCATAATGGCTCCTTTAGCACCATTGCAATGTTTCATGTCGAGTGTCCGCTTATTAACATCTGTGCACTGCAGAAAGATTCCTGTTCTATCTTTGGCTTTTATTCTTTGCTTTCTTTTTTTCTTGTTGTTATTTATTTAAACCTCTATTATGAAAAAAAGACAACATGTTCTTGTGTATGTGCACAATTATCAGTGTTAAGCATGAGTGCTGCTATACTGGTGTCATAGCAATGCTTCACTCTACAAACACCTAAAGCAGAAGCCAAGTAACTGTCTAAGAGCAAATATCTGATAGGATTTTAGAGCAGTTTTGAATTTCTTCATTCCTGACCGACTTCTCTGTGCACTTTTAATAAGTTTCTCAGTCTGAGCTCTGTCTGAGATTGTTTATTAGCAGTCCTGCTTTTTGCTGGTTTTGATGCATTTTAAAACACAAACCTTGA